ATGAAAAATCAGAGATTTCATGAGCGCACTAAACACATTGATGTCAGATTTCATTTTATTCGAAATGTTGTTGAAGAGGGAACTATCAAGGTTGTGAAGGTTATCACAGACGATAATGTTGTAGATATGTTGACCAAGATAGTCCCACTCGCTAAGTTTGCACACTGCAAGGACTTGGCGGGGGTGTGCATCAACTGATGCAACTCCGAAGAGAACAGTTGTTAGGTGGAGGTGGTATGTTCAACAATGGTTTGATTCTTCTTGTTTCTTACAACGGGGTTGCCCAGTAAGCTTAGAAGTTTTGGCCAGAGTTGTTCACACGCACGCTCGAAACGCAAACCAAGGTGGAGATTGAAGGTGTTGGTTTATGTTTAGTCAACAATGGCATGCCAATTGGAAGAGTTGGTGGAAAGAGTTGGTGTGGATGCTAGGAGGAAGCTTCCTCCTTTGATGTCACCCATGACATCAAGAGGAGGTAGTTTGATGTCACCAATGACATCAAGAGGAGGTCTTTACCTCTATAAATAGATGCACTCCTTCATTTGTAGAAACCATCCCAAAAATAATACAACACATTGTAGTGAGTAGAGAGTTAAGAGAGAAATTCTCTTAAGTGTAATTGGGAACTCTCCCCTTCCTTTGTTAATATTAAAAAGGCAACTGCTCTGGTGGACGTAGGATTATTTTGATCTGAACCACGTTAAATTTTGTGTTCTTTCTTTTACGTTTCCGCTAACAATATAGATATATATATATGTGTGTGTGTGTGTGTGTGTGCCCTTCATTGCGCCTTTTCTACTAAAGCCCACACTTAAATTGTGCTTTGAGCTTAAGGCCCCAATAAACCTAAAGCGCTTTGTAGAGCTTTTCGCCTTTGAGAACACCGGTACTATCTGCAAAAGCATCTGTACATAATCTTACAATTTATTGGCATATTGTGTATTGTTTTACTATTACCATAACGGTTACTTGTTCTCATATTTTTTGGCTTCTTCCTTCTTAGATACAATTATGAAAGTATTTGATATAAATTATTACCTTATCAGAAGATGCCGGGGGGTCTATTTGGAAACAGCCTCTCTACCCCAGGGTAGGGGTAAGGTCTGCGTACATACTACCCTCACCAGACTCACTAAGTGGGATTATAATGGGTTGTTGTTGTTGTATTACCTTATCAGAAGAAATGAAGTATTTGGTATAAAATACTCTATCAACAATAACCTAGCGGACATTTGCTTCGAAACTTGCAGATTGGAGGTCATCATAGTGATAATGATTTTGCCGTGAGAGGCAAGGAACCTAAAGATGAGGTCCAGATCTATACATGGATGGATGCTACTCTGCGTGAATTAACTGATCTGGTATGAAGAGATAACTATAATATGCTTTTCCTCTGATCTTCTTAATTTAGACTTTGCTTTCTTATTTCTCTATCAGTGTGTTCATTCCTTGACTATGCATCAGAAAGTTGTGCTTCAAGATATTATTACATTGTTGCAAACTTTCGCAATCTTCCTCCTGGGACATTGACTTGTTGGCATTACCGATCCAATAATTGTCTAGAAGAATGAGCTAGGCTTGGATTTTGTGAAGTGCTGAGTTACCTCCTGCACAAGATAACCATATTTGAATCCAATCAGTTGACTTCCAAAATATGATTGAAACATAGGAGTATTCTGGACCCAAAATGGGCCAAAAAACTAGCTAAAAACAGAAATGGGTTGTCCAAACTATTATATCGCACAAAAAACTGCATATACAGTTAACTAAGCCTTAAAGGCCGTTAGCCGGCTCCGTCCGGGATTTTTTTAATTTTTAATGTATATCGCAGGAAAAAACTGCGAACAACCCATTTTTGTTCAAAATAGTTTGGACAACCCATTTCCGGCTTTTCCACCCATTTTGGGTCCTAACTCCATTGAGGTGATATGAGTTGTGGACTATCAGAATTTTAAATGACAGTCAAGAGCAGTTGATGTTGAGCTTGTCAAATCTGATTTTCTCCAATAATTGAATAAATTAGGTCAGACTTTTTCTTTCTTCACAACGTAGTAGTATTCTACATTGTATATTAGACTTAGACGTATCAGATGACTCAGATTGCCAACCAAAAAGCGGCAATATAGTGGATAGCTTTTAGTGTTTGCCTTAGTGGTTGTGCTGCAACTTTCTTCACCTTCCTTTGTGACCCCACTTTACTTTTGTGGGAAATGTTTTAAGTTATTTATGTTGCATCCATTCATTGAACTGTTTGGCAGGTTAAAGAGGTAGCTCCAGAAGCAAGACGAAGAGATGCAAGTTTATCATTTGCTTTTGTATATCCTGATAAACGAGGGCGGTTTGTGGTTAGAGAGGTCTGTCTCCCATCTCTTATATATGTGTTAATGTAACCTCATTGTTTCTTTGGATGGG